GAGCACCTTTAGGATTGCCCTGTAGTGATTGTGTTTCTCTAACTATTTCACGGGTCAGGTCAGCTTGATAAACCTCTAATATGGTTTCATCTTCAATATGTTCTTTTACAATTTTTCTGTCCTTTGTTACCTGGCCGGTGCTCACGAAAACGTTATATATTCCATGGGTACTTTCAAAGTGAACAGCTACATGTAGAGCTCTACCTTAAGACCTCGCACCTTCACCAACAATGAACAATTTCTTTTTTTTTTGAAGTGACACACTTTGTTGATAAAAATAGATTGATAATAGTTAAAATAGGAACTTCAGTAACAATAAAACAAACACGAACAGGAACTCATGAACGAAAAGCAACTGGAAACTGGAGCACTGGAATGAGAACTTATCTGGGAGTTGAAACAATAATACATTTACACAGTATTATCAAGTTGGCAGTAAAAATCAGTAAGTAACTATTTTTTTATGATAATCTCAGGGCATCACTTGATTTTCTTTCATTGAAACGGATGTAACTAAATCCCTTTAAATGATTTCAGACATCAATTCAGCAAGTAAGTTAAATGATCTGAATTTAAGCTGTTTTCAGAGTTGAAACTTTTCCTAAAAAAATAACGGTTATTTGGGTGTTGCAATGTATGGCTACATTTGTTTAGGTTCGCAAAATGTTTGCTTGATTCTATATCAGTAATGATGTAGAATCAAGCAGAGGTCATTGTCAGATCGAGATCTTCAGATGATGTGGTGCTGCAGGTTTTTCCGGGTTTTTGCAGCTGGTAAATGTATGGCTACATTTGTTTAGGTTCGCAAAATATTTGCTTGATTCTACATCAGTAGTGACGGAAGATACGGGGGTGTTTCCATGAGGAGTGAGACACATTTCACACTGAAAAAATATTTTTCAATTGAGCAAAACCAGCAAAATTCTTTTCGAGCATTGACAAAGACCGAAACCTGTCAAGAATGAAAATGTTTCACAATAATTCATTTCAATTATCAGTCAATGCAACGAACATATGTGTTTTGAAACTGTTTCAGCGGATATGCTAATATTTGTTTGGTAATTTTTGGGTCAATATTGTTGGAAAAAATATGTCAACATATTCTTAGAGGTCGTAAACTTTTGAACTACATGCTGGTGGAGTTTGAAAACATTTTTTCAAGTAAAACTTCTTTACGCGCGCTTGACTTGGGGATTAATCTGGTGAATGCGTGACGTGAGCGTTACGAAAAGTGTGACCAGGCAAGGCGAACGTAAGTTGAGAAGAAGGTTAGTGAAGATAGAAAGAGAGAGAAAGTTACGTTTCGTATGTTACTATAAGTGCAAGAGAGAGGTGCGAGCACATATTTACGGTCAAGTAGGCTCTGCAGAATTAGGAGAAAACTATCATAAGTTGCCACTAATTTCAGCAGGAGATTTCAATGTCAATTTCGCGTCCGAAGATGCACACACTCTACAAGATGAATTAGAAGTACAAATAAGAATAACCCAAATGAGCCTATCATATCTTATTTTTTGAACCATAAGCCTATTGTCTTGGTCTTACAATCAATCACAGTAATTATCTACTGATGTATCCGATAATGGAACTTCATCTAGCGTTTCCTAATAGATATAACTAATAACCAGTCCGTGCAAAGCTTATTGTTAAATCATCTGAAATTGGAATTTTTAACAGGTGATGATCGACTGTATTGCCAAACATGCGCCAAACTAACTGACTGTTATAAGAAAACAAGTATAGCTGAGGCACCAGTCAATCTAATAACAACACTGATGATCTTCAAACAAGACTCAACCTCTGACGGAAGCACCAAACTCTTGCGAAGGTTCGAAATAGATGAACACTTCAATCTAGCAGACCCCTATTATAATATTCATGCACTCATTTTTCACTGTGTCAAGGACGAAACAAACTGGTTTTAGTTTGACGATAGTCGTGTCACTAAGTGTTCTGACGATGTCTTCAATTTATTGGAGCCTCTGGAGACACCCTCATTTTGTTTTATGATACAGAGGACATTGGCAGATCAAGATCTTCAGATGATGTGGTGCTGCAGGTTTTTCAGGGTTTCTGCAGCTGGAAAAGCAAATGCGCCACTGGAAACAATGAAGTTGCCCCGGAGCGCCAATTAATGTTTATTGTTGTTGCTTTATAATTATTACCTATTCAAAAATGGTAATTTATCAATGAATTGAATTGAATGACCTTGTTTGTGTTCAATTAAAGATAGGTAGCCAGATTTTACTGATGTTCATTGCCTCTTCATTTCTATCGAAGTTATCTGTTTGTTTCTGAATTTCTATTGACTCTCAATATATTCTTGAATAGTAATTTTGAATTTCATCGAGTATTTGTTTATCTTCGAAAAAGATGATGTTAGTGTCTCTTTTAAGAGCATGTTCAGCTACAGCTGATTTGTCGGTTTGATCAGAGAGACGGATGGATGCCTAAACTTCTTTTCGTGATTCTAATGCAAAGGAATCCGGTATATCCCAGGTGTTGCAAAAAAGCTCTCTGGGGTCCTTAGCTGACCTTAGGCTCTCTCTGATAGTTTTCGTTGGCCTAAATATAGGGTTCAAGAAAATTTTGTAGATGCAATGTGTTTTCAAATGTATTTTATATGCCTAATGATTTTTGAAATAGTAATATTAACACGAAGAAACTACTGAAGCCTGATGAAGAATTAAAATAAATTCAAAACGTCGTTTTTTTTTTAAGACAAAATTGATCCTGTTACCAAACCAATCTTTCTTCATAGTTGAAAGCTTTTCGAATTTTCGACATCGTCACAAATACAAANTCCACGACCTTGGGAATAGAAAAAAGTCACAGGGAGCCAAATCTGGTGAATACGGTGGCTGAGGCATGATTACGGTGTTGTTTTTGGTAGGAAAATTACGAACGATCATTGACAAATGAGCAGGTGCATTATCGTGATGCAAAAGCCATAAATTGCTATTCCATAATACCGAACGTTTTTTTCGTATTGCTTCTCGCAAGCAGCGCATTACTTCAAAATAATACTCCTTATTGACCACACGACCATGTGGCAAGAACCTCTGACATTTTCCTTGTGTAACCATGAGAAGCCACAACACTGCGGCTATCGCCACCCTGACTTCCTAATGGATACCCCGCGGAGGAGCTAGAAGGATACCAAGGAAAAAGCTCCCGTTCCCCCCAGACTCCTGGGGCTGCTGGAAGACCCTCCGGAGCAGATCCAGAACATCCTAGAGGAATATTCATTGGCTATCAGATAGCGAAAAATCCACGCCCTGGAATACCATGAAGAACATCATGAACTATCGACCACACCACCCCAGGTTCATCACGAACCACCACCCATCAAACAACGACCCACCGCTATGGACCAGGACACAAACACACAAACAAAGGAAAAACTAACACAATACTAACATAGATTATAAGATAGATAACTGTAACCCTGAAGAGGCATAAGCCCAAAGCAGGGCCCCACCATAAACATACCTTGTAAACACTAACACTAACCCCAAAAATTTGAATAAATACATTAGTCAGTCAAGTCACTCTCAGATTATGCTTGAAGAAGCTATTTAGCGACACACGTGTTGCGGTTTTTGTAAAACTCTTTTATAGTGAATATAAGTATATAAGTATGTTCATGAGTATATTCAGGATGAATACCGTAGAACTCATACAAGTACTTGCATGGAAATTACTTATGAAACATTTCTTAAACATATAAATTTGTGAATGAATTTTATTTTGTTCATTGAAAGAATGGTAATTGGTAGGATGAACTGGAGAAAGTTTTCAACACAATTGTGAATTAAATCATTTGATTTACAGTTCATTTGCAGATTCTTAAAAATAATATGAAATTTCTAATCTCTAAGTATGTAGGACCCTCTTTTCAGTTGAAACAAAAAGTTGATAGAACCATTTTGGCGACGAATGATGCCACACTCTGGATTGTTTTATTGAAAAATACTAAAAACGCTGCATTTCTTCATAAAATTTGTCCGACCTTGATGTTTTCAAAAGGATTTATTTAGATTTTATTTAGAAATTCCATATTGACCCCTTCCTTTTGATAGATTTATCTGATATTTGCTACACACATTTAGTTTTGATGATACAGTTAAATAAATTCTGTATCATTGTGAATCCGAGATGGCCGCAGCTACTAAATGGATTACGTATTTTTCCACAACTATCTCAATATGGGTATCAGATGACAGGACTTAACTAGTAGAATAGTACACTTTAAAAAACATGCAAATTGAAGATTGCCGCAGCTACTAAATAGATTACATATTATTTCACAACTACTTCAATATGTTGCCGTTCAATATTGACGTATCGAAAGGATTGGTAAACGGCGCATTCGGCTACATGGCAGAAATTGTTTGGCCTCTGTTTTGTCGAACTCAAATGTACGAAACAGATGTACAGTCAGTTCAGATCAAATTTGGAAGAGACGGCGTACATCTTATCCACCCTAAACCCATATAGTCTGTGTCACAAAATCCTTTTTTTGGAACTTCTGTCCAAAGACACCGTAACTTATGATTCAGGGCTCATTCGATTCGAAATGACCTCTAGCGACTTTTTGAAAAATTCAAGAGGGGCTCAAAAAAATTGCAAAAGTTATAAACAATTTAGTAAGAAACAGGTGGGTTTGGTTTTTGGCAATTTTTTTTTACTTATTTTATGTCCTGTGCAAAGTTGAGGGAGGTAGGTGACTTTTCACGTCCGTTATGTTTACAGGGTCAGTAAATATCATGTCACTGAATAATTCTTGTGTTTTCAGAAACAGTTCATATCTTATCAAATTTTCAACAAATTATTCCATCATTAACTTTCACATTTTTCCACACAAAATGTATATGCATTCTATACAAATGTGTTCTGAAATCTATTCAGGCGGTAAGGAATGAAGTCTTCAACAGTCGGGATTCCCAAAGCAATTAACGCGGTACCTTCACAAACCGCTTTTTTTTAGATATATAAATTAAACGCACTGGGATCCGCGATAATCAGTATACACGATACGGTTATCAAGGAGAGTGCCATGGCAGCGAGTATATACCTGAAAGTAGTTTTCTTACTCGCGGCGTGGACTTACACAGTTATTTGTGAGAATATAGACGAGTTTCGGGAGCACACAAAACGGATATCTCCCAATAAGTTTCCGTGTAGCGAGCCACAACCTAGAGTGTTATATCTGAAAGACCTCGTAGAAGAAAATGTGTACCAGGAGAAATATAGAAATATAATACAGCATGTGAGTATTTTCGTTTATTTTCACGAGTAACTTATTGTATAATTTTTTATTATAACATTTCAATTCAATAAGAAGTATTGCACAAGTTTCGATAATACTTTCTTCAGCTTATATTTTTACTGATTTATTTAAGATGCGATTTGGTGGTCAAGCCATAACAGATGACAAAATATCGTATGTAAAAACATAGAAACATGAATTTGTCTAGCGTTAACAAACATCGAAACAAGTAAAGTTTCGATTTTCCAATATCAATTGAATCATCAGTTGATGCACCAGAAAAGGTTAGTAGTCTGTGAAGATCAGAGTAATTTTCATTACCCTAAAATTTGATATGATAATAATATAATATTTATCACAACATAAAATGTTCTTAATCACATAATGAGGTAGAGTTCGTTCAGTATTTTCTGAGAGTAAAATAATATCAAGAAGCAAACATGTCGTTACATCAAAGAAAGCAACATAGTCGTCTCAAGCAAACAGCACTGCAATTCACCCACAAAATCATTGAGATATGTCTACCCTCTACATCCCTTGAGGACTCCACTAACGAGCCATTAAAATAGGGACATGCGACAAAGAACGTGAAAACACCGACAAAGAATGCGAAAATACCGCCAAAAGAACCGCTCGATGTTTTTTCTGGTTACGTTTTAGATAATAATAATAGGCGTCCGACTGGGGGGTATTATTATAAATTTTCCATTGATATATTCTGTATGATGGGAAGATAATTAAAATATGGTGAAAACTAATTTTCTTTAAATATTTTATTTTGGGAACGACAATTTATATCTGAAATAGTTTTTTATTATTTAGAATTGTTCCCTACCTTCTACAGATCTATATAATAATCAGAATATTAAATTTACAAATAAATACAAATGTAGAAGGGACAAAAAGTTACAGCACTTGATAGCTTTTTGGAAAAAAAATCAACTTTGTCATTGACTTGAATTTGAAATGTTTGCATATTGAAAGAAATATGTATCATCTGGTGACGTTTTAAAGACTCTATCCATTTTCTTTATCCAACCTATTTCAATCAAAACATTATAATTTGTAGTTATGATTCGTCTTTTGATGTAAATAAATTTGATATTATTATTATCATTGACACTGATAATATCAAATTGATCGTCGGTATGATAACGAAGATGAATAAAGTATTCGAAATATCACCAGATAAGTATACAAATAGAATAGATTTCCGCGGTTAGAAATTTGAAAGTAAGCCAAATGGAACAATATAGGCCGCGCAAAGTTTGGCATTATAGGTCTGCTGAGTGTAAGGATCTTCAAGACAATTTCCGAAATTTTCCCTGGTTTCCTGGCTAGATGTTTGTTTCAGCTCTAATGATCCATCAAATTGTGCTACTTGAGTCACGTAGGTTATTCTACCTTTTATTCTATTTTTTTTTGGGTGTCATCGGCATCGACTACATTGGTCATTAGTCTCGTGTCTTGGGTAGTCAATGTCAATAACACCCTGAGCCACCTAGGGAGCATCATGACTATTCGCAGTCCGTCAGCCATGTAATGTTGCAGAGTATTCCAGCTTCAATTAAATAAATTCTCTCAAGAAAAATATCTGGTCGAGGTTGGGATCGAACTCACAACCTTTCGGTTGTAAGTCTGGCGCACTGCCATTGCGCCGACTATCATTATAATCATTAGTTTACAATAAAATTTTGATTCAAATCAAATAAAATCAATATATGCTCTAGTACCCAAGATGTGAACATCTTATTGGCAAAGTGTAGTAAAGTAAAACGTGTATATGGGACAATTAACAAATATAAACTATAAAATAATGCTTAGAGACAAGAGCAGAGCATTCATAAGGAAATGTTGCAGATATGGGTACTATCTTGAAAGTTCGGATGAAACATTTTCAACTTGTAATAATATACCTTTAATCGTTTTTATAAGAGAATATTTAGTGGTTAATCCATAACGACTCAAGAATATTGTGTGATTGACCGGAAACATAGAAAACGTTTCGAATTTTACGAGGATTAACAAACACCGGAACCAGTCAAGGTTGGGAATGTGTTACAATGTTTCCATTTCAATTATCAGTCGGTGCAATGTAGATATGTGTACTGAAATGATTTTCCCAGATACATTAACGATACAATGGTGTTACGACATATTGTTCCTTTACACAATGCAATGTTCACCTGAGACGTCACAATGCGACGTCATTATACTCACGAGTCTTTTCGCGCTTAATCTACATTAGGTGTGTTTTATGGCAATATAAGAGGCATACGTATCTACATTGAAAAAATATATTTCTAAAACTGCCATCGTGCCTGTTGTGGCCAATAAACCTATCATGAAGACTATACAGGGTGTCCTATATAAAACTCCGCGGGCGAATATCTGAAAAATGAAAAAGAATATCTATATTTCGTGAAAGCAGATAATTTTGGTGTCAAAGGGTCCTCTTATGTACGTAGAGATCCAGCTCTAGGCGTCATCCGTTAGGGCGTCGCGACACCGACGCCAATTTGTTTGAAAGGTACCATAGTATTTTCAATTGGTTTTTGAATTCTGCATTAAATTCTGAATTCAGCCATATAACACACTTGTAGTTTTCCTTGAATACTGATGTAATAAGGCAATTTTATTGCGTATTATAGAGAGGGCCATGAATAAGTCAAAATGAATGCAATAATACGAGTTTAATAAAATGAATCCATCAGTTATGATTTCATTGTCCGTTCAATTTCATCTAGTTGCCTATTTCTGTACAAATTGAAATAAATGTTTCAAATTACCAAAAAATATGTTACTTTGACCATAATTAGACTAACATGATGATAACGAAATCAATTAGTGATAACAAAAATAATTTTAGTTAGTGTTCCAACTGCCTCCCTTCACGTAGAATACACATATTGCATCTTTTTAGTAATTCCCGATTCGTAACAGCTGAAAGCGTCTCTCGCGTTATGGAAGCACAAACATTTGTGATACTATTTTTCAAATCCTCTACATTTTGTGGACGTTCCATATAAACTAAGTCTTTGATATATCCCCACGAAAAGAAATCTAGTGGAATAATATCTGGACTTCGAGCTGGCCATGGTATTGGACCCTTATTTCCAATCCATTTCTCATTAAAAGTATCATCCAAATATTGGGTAACTATTCTATTATTCTATTATTATGTGGAGGTGCCCCATCTTTTTGAAACCACATATTCAGTCGAGTTTGTATTGGTAAATTCTCCAAGAGATTCGGCAACACATGTTGTAGAAAAACTAAGTACCTCTCCCCATTGAAAATTCCTTCGAAAAAATGAGGTCCTATCAAATAACCATCAATGATTCCGCACCAAACATTAACCCCCCACACAGACTGAAATCTCATTTCTTGCACCCAATGAGGGTTCACGTCAGACCAATAGTGACAATTATGTTTGTTTATTATACCGTTGTTATGGAAACGGCTTTCATCACTCCATAATATATTTTTCAGAAACTAATCGTCATCATGAATACGGGTGGTCAACCATGCAATGAAGTTCAATCTTCTATCAGCATCTCCTGAATATGGGAATATATGTATTTTAGTTATTGAAAATGAAACATGAAGATTATGACCTGGATGTAGTCCTTGAACCAAATGTATTTTGTATGGATGGAATTTGTTTATTGACAAAATATTCTGTGATTCTCATCACTAGCCGTTTTTCGTTTTTTTCGCTTCCATTCATTAAAACATCCATTTTGTGCCAAAGATTTGGCACGAAATGGAATGTTTTGTCTGACGGTAATTTTCTGTCAGGATACCGTATATTCTTACTGCTTCCTTTGAATTCCTTCTTGCTTCGCCATAAATACATATTATATCCATCTTAATGTCCATTTGAAAATTGAACCATTTTCCAATTTTACGAAAAATCAACACAAAACTAACATTTTCAAATCTGACAGGTCTTCTGACAGATCGCTAAATACCATTTATACATCAATGATTCCGCACCAAACATTAACCCCCCACACAGACTGAAATCTCATTTCTTGCACCCAATGAGGGTTCACGTCAGACCAATAGTGACAAGTATGTTTGTTTAATATACCGTTGTTATGGTAACGGCTTTCATCACTCCATAATATTTTTTTCAGAAACTGATCATTATCATGAATAGGGGTGGACAACCATGCAATGAAGTTCAATCTTCTATCAACATCTCCTGAATATGGGAATATATGTATTTTAGTTATTGAAAATGAAACATGAAGATTATTACCTGGATGTAGTCCTTGAAACAAATGTATTTTGATGGATGGAATTTGTTTTTTGACAAAATATTCTGTGTTCTCATCACTAGCCGTTTTTGGTTTTTTTCGCTTCCGTTCATTAAAACATCCATTTTGTGCCAAAGATTTGGCACGAAATGGAATGTTTTGTCTGACGGTGATTTTCTGTCAGGGTACCGATTAGCGTATATTCTTACTGCTTCTTTTGAATTCCTTCTTGCTTCGCCATAAATACATATATATTATATCCATCTTAATGTCCATTTGAAAATTGAACCATTTTCCAATTTTACGAAAAATCAACACAAAACTGACATTTTCAAATCTGACAGGTCTTCTGACAGATCGCTAAATACATTATAGCATTTATTTTGACTTATTCATGGCCGTCTTTATAATATGCAATAAAATTGCCTTTTTTCATCAGTATTTAAGGAAAACTACAAGTGTGCTATATGGCTAAATTCAGAATTCAATGCAGAATTCAAAAACTATTGAAAATACTGTGTTACCTTTTAAAAAATGGGCGTCGTTGTCGCGACACCTTAACGGATGACGCCTAGTGCTGGATCTCTACGTAAATAAGAGGACCCTTTGACACCAAAATCATCTGCTTTCACGAAATATGGATATTCTTTTTCATTTTTTAGATATTTGCCCGCGGAGTTTTAAATGGGACACCCTATATAGTCTAATCTATCAATCACAGTATATTCCAGCTCG